TTTAAAAAAGAATATACCAATAAAATGTACACAAAATTCTCTATCTTTTAACATCAGAATCAAACTTTCTGGTCGAGTTTAACTTGCGAAAAAAGCCTATCAAAAATCAGCAATTTAATATGGACCACCCGTTAGTTGTTAATATTGAGAAGAAAAATTGAAAACGAAGATGTATCATTAATTCTTTGGCTCTCTATACATGTTTCTTTATTGGAGCAAATAAAAATTGATTCAATTAGATACTGTAATGTTAAATAAAGGAAATGATATTTTATAATCTATAAATATTAGTAGCATCACTAATTCGAGAGAGAGAGAGAGAGAGAAGAAAAAGCCTGCTGTTTTCCTACGCTAAAGATTTCTCAAATCAGTATGTATATATAGAACCTATAATCAATGCAATTGAGCATTATTTCTTTCAAAATTCTTTCAATGTGAAAAAACAATGGAAAAAAAAAAGAAGCAAAAACCAAAGCAAACATATTAAAAGTAAAGAAGAATAGAATATTAATAACACATTTAGTTTTAAAAACAGAGCGTAGAAAAGCACTTGTAATCAAAGAGGAAAACAGTTTTAGAACAAAAAAGTGTTCATGTAGCCGCAAATTTATTAAAATTATTTTTTCGTGAATTACCTGAACCCTTATTTACTACTCAACTTTATCCATTATTCTTACGTGCAATACAAATGAATGATCCGGATAATCAACGTTTATCATTATTAGAAAATATATCAAATTTACCACAGACAAATCGACGAATATTATATCGTCTTTTAGATCATTTAATTCTTGTTAGTCGAAATTCACAACAAAATATGATGCATTTGGAAAATTTAGCCGTTGTATTTGGACCAACATTAATGAGACCATCAAAATTAGTTGATTCAAATAGTAGTTATTATGCACAAAGTGGATCAAGTCAACAATTAAATAAACTTGTTGTTAATGTTAAACAAGAACCAGATTTAGATCAAATGTCAAATGAACTTCAAGGAAGTATGTTTCAATGTCAAATTGTTTTACAATGTTTAAAATTAAGACGAGATAATCAACTTATTTAAAGTTAATTCATTGTACGATAAGTGATTAATTAATTAAATGTTTTTTGTCCTTTTGTTTTCTTTTATAACAGTTTGGTTTTGCTCATATTTTGAAGATAATAATTTGAGAAATAAAAGGACCGTGTGATTTTTTTTTGTTTTTTTCTGTTTTATTTTATCCTTATCAAAGTGAGATTTAGTGCAGTGCATGTATTTTTCTTCTTTTTTTTTTGCTCTTTTTCTTTCATACACTGTTCATTTCTTCTTTGTGCATTCCATTTTCGATTCTGAATGAAATTTCAGTCACCATTTTTTTTCTTCTTCTTCTTACTACTCAGTTAGTACAGTGATGATTTGTTTTATGTCTATAACGGGTTGATCATAAAATAACTAAATACTTTTGTTTTGTTTCTTTTTTTTTACTTTTCAGACACTGAAATAAAATTTAAAGATCAGATTTATATCTAAAAGATGAAAATAATTTTTATTCTTGTACAATATCTTCTATAGTCGATATTCGTACACTGTTTCATTGTTTGAAAATGTATCGCTAAGCTACTGAACAAATCGGATGTACTTCTTTTTTTTTGTTTTCAATATAATAGACTAATTTATATTATTTAAGCATAATTCTATTATCTATTCATTACAGTTACTTTGTGAAGAAAACAAAAAGGTACGTCTTTATCAATAGGACAAAGTTTTTTTTTCCATCATATTTTTTATCAGTACTAATGGATGATCTCAAAAAAACCAATTGGGTCATTTCTGAACTCAGTTTTTCTTTTCAACATATCATACAGTTTCAATATCCGTTTTTTTAATTTTGTTTTTTTATTAAAATTTAAACCTGAAGATGTCACTAAAACATTGACAAAATATCTCAGTTATCGACCAAATCGACATTATCTTTGTCAAATAATGAAACAACATGTCACGATCGGATAAAGAGGGTTTTGATTAGAAGACAAAATGTTTTATGTTTTAAGTCTAAACTAGAATCTTCGTACTTTATTTCATAATCTGAAACAAAAAACAAAAACAATAAAAGTCTTGTTTGTTTTTTTCCGTTTCTTCTACACTCCATTTATTAATATTGAATTCTTTTTGTAAAATGTCGAACTGGTCTTTCGCAGATGCAGGAGGATTAGTTAAATCAAGAATGAGTATCCTATCATTCCATTGTTATTTCTTTTTTTTATAAATTGGCCCTGTGAGGCTTATTCGACAGTCCATCTAAACTCTCTTGATTCGGTGTTCATTGATTTTGTTTTTGTTTTTTAAAATTATTTTGGATGATTTTTGTTTTGTTTTGTTTTTCTTCTTTTGTTAATTTATCTATCTTTCTTAAACTTTATTCATTTTTTTGTATACTAAAATATCTTTATCAGTGGCAAACTGTTTTCCTCTTTGATTACAAGTGCTTTTCTACGCTCTGTTTTTAAAACTAAATGTGTTATTAATATTCTATTCTTCTTTACTTTTAATATGTTTGCTTTGGTTTTTGCTTCTT